TATGTATGTATGTGTTACGTATTTTGTCTGTCACTCACATGAAGTCTTATTGTTTAATATTATTTTCTATTTATATATATTATTTTCTTTTATTTCTGTATTTTGTTTTAATATGTTCAATGAAAGTGGTCCATGATGTCAGCAGGCTGGGACGGTTTGCATAAAATGGCCGCTAACTGTCACCATTGAAACTTCACTGACCCATTTTTCTTCAGACCTCTCATAGCGAAAGTCTTCACCAGCTAAATGCATTTTCCAACAGTGGAAGTCTCATTTGTAATCACAAGAGCAAACTAGTATCATTAAAGATGATGTAAGCCAGGACAATGTCAGTGTTTTGAACTATTTCAACATATGACATGCAACGACCTGTTTTTGTTTTTTTTTGTTTTTTTTAAATTAAAATGTCAAGAAAACATTAATATTGTACACAGATTGTCTTTTGCACCTTTCAAAAGAGCAACAGGTTGTGTTCATGAACTGAACAATGGAAAGTGTCTGCATGCTGAACCGGCAGCTGCAAGTTGTGTGACTTTCATCTCAGATACAGAAACATCAGTTGGTTGCTTCACCGCTACATGTCTCATTAATATGTAAATATCTGAGAGACTGCAGCAAATCTCTATAGAGACAATCATGGTCCCCAGATAACAAAGACGATCCTCTGGATTCTCCTGTAGTGCTGCCATGAGGTTAACATTTTTGATTTTCAGGTGGGGCTCCGTGGTTAACACCGTCGCCTCGCAGCAAGAAGGTCACTGGTTTGTGTCCCAGTGAAGACTTTCTGCGTGGAGTCTCCATGTTCTCCCCGTGCAGCGTGGGTTCTCTCCGGGTTCTCCGGGTTCTTCCCACAGTCCAAAACACGTTGAGGTTAATTGGTGATTCTAAATTGTCCGTAGGTGTGAATGTGAGTGTGCTTGGTTGTCTGTCTCTAAGTGTAGCCCTGTGATAGACTGGTGACCTGTCCAGGTGAACCTGCCTTCACCCTGAGTCAGCTGGGATAGACTCCAGCCCCCCACGACCCAAGCGAGGACTAAGCGGTGGATAAATGATGGATGGATGGATTTTCAGGTGAAATAGCTCAACAACTACTGGATGGATTGCCATCAAATCTTGTAGGGAGTTCTAACAAGTTCAACGTTAACTGATTCCATTTGCAAACTGCAAAGAAACAGCATCATGACCTGTAGACGGCTAATGTTAGCAGCTGTTCAGTAGTAGTTTATATGATGCATGCTAGCATTAGCTCATACTAATGCTAACTAACACTGCAGAATTACAAGCAGAGTCAAGGGTCAATACATTTAGACTCATTTAATGCTCCAGTTAGGTAAAGTTTATTCTTCTCTACTTGTATCAGGACGAGTGTCACAAGTTTACATTTTTCCTCTAATTTGGTGAGTGTTAACTTTTTTTTTCTAGAAAATTAGAAAACAGCTTCTAATATTAAAGTATCTGAATGACAGACAGAAATCAGTTCAGCCTGCAGCCATTAAAAGCTGAATATTTATGCATCAAACCTAAAATGTTAATCAAGCAGATATATAATTGGAAATATAACTGAATCTGTTTATGTATGTATTTTATTTTATCAGTGCATATGTTTATTTAAAGATGGTTTTTCACAATCCTATGATTTAATCTCAGTTATTTCCCATCATTATAATTAATGATACTCTCCAATATAATAATTACAACAATCAATTGATTTAGCACATTACTGATTTATCAGATCCCCTGTTTATGAAATACATTAGACTTCTTTTAAACATGCAGTATTGAGTTCATGAGACTGAGAAATGATGTTGGTCTGCAGGAAGGAGCACGCTGCTGAATCTTACATCCGGCCCTGAGGTTGTACGAGATAATGAGTCCGTCATGCATAAGAGAAAGAGTATATTGCAATATTTGTGAGTGAGTTTCAAACACGAGTGTTTCCCTCTTATGCCTCCCAGTCTTCACACTTTCTGTTTTCTTGCATGACGGTTGACACATTCTGCCCTAATTCATATTATTTACATGAGCTCCCATAAGCTGTTCCTTTAAAATGGGCTAAAATAAAATGTTTTTAGTTGTTCTTTCCTGAAATATTTCTCTCTTGCACAAGCTGGTCTTGTAAAAAAATGAAGAAGAGCATGTGTGAGATTAGCTCCACATGCTACAATACTATGACATGTCAGTGTTTACTCATTACACGACCAAGAGACAAAGATCTTAACTCAACTCAGAGATGTTTCTATGTAAATCTTTCCAACTTAAACCAGATTTTAAAAGCAGTGTTCAATGTATGACAGTACAGAAAGAAAACTGTGCATAAAGGCATAAAAAAAACGTCCTAACCGCACTAATTTCATGGCGATCTAAAAGCAGAACCGTCTTGCAAATCTCCTGTGTGTGTTTTTCTTTTTTTCTCTCACATACAATCTTCAACCTTCAGCTGAGTTGCATGCAAACATGAGCAACAGCACTCTCTTGTGGCAGCAGGTGAATGAGGAAGCAGAAGGAGATCCAGCAGTGATGCCGTAACACGGAGCTTTTAAGTGAATCGCCTGTCAGTCAAATGCCGGCTGTCAAATAAAGTGTGTAGTCGCTAATTAACTTTTAATTCCTTTTAATGAAGACATGACAAATTAGCTTCAGCAGGATACAAAAACTAAATCTCATGGGGATGTTTTTGTTGTCAGAGCATTTGGGCATCAGTGAAAATGTGCAAACTGCTGTCTGAGGCTCTGTCATGAGAAAAAGGCGCATCGAAAATGCAAAAATATTCTGTCACACGAGGACCTGTTGCTCAAGTGGTTGACGTCATCAACTGGTCCGAGATGAATATGTTGTGGTTGAACTAACAGAAAAGTATTGCGCACGAGCTGCAAAGTACTGGAAGTCTTGCACATTCTGATTTCCTCATGTTGGATCGTGTCTCTGCCCGCAGATTTTCTTCAAGATCAGCAATGTGCAACTTCTTTCCTCGTCTAGTAATTTGTTTTTAACTAACTTAATTTCTTCAGCAAACTCATTCTGTGTCTCCTTCCATTCACAACACCTGCAAAGAGCGAGACCTGATCTCCTGCTCTGCTTTGAGACATTTAGCCAAAGTGTTTGCTTCCTTTAATAGCCTCTCTCTTCACCAATCCCCTCCCAGACAGCTACGGTTGGTGGATTAAAGTCTGCTGAGTGTCTAGCACCAGTCGGAAGGACAAAATGGCCTTTCCTCAAAAATACATGCTCCGTCATCTGCACACCGTCAGACTTTTGTGGCGCATTTTAATAACTTTTAATCACCACCTCCTGTATTTTGTGCTGGCCAGATTTCAGGTGTGTATGACGTTTCCCCTTAGGAGGAGATAGATTTTGAAAATGGCCAGAAACGCGACAAAATTGGTCGTAGTTTTTCCAAAATGGTGGACTTCCTGTTGGGTTTAAGGCTTGGCGCTCATTGACTTTTTTATGCACCCTGACCTGCTACATATGCCCACCAAATCTCATAGGTCAAGGTGTAAAGGCCTTCCGACACGACTCCGTTGAGTGCCGGACACACAGCAAAAATGCAAATATTGGACTCTTATGCAAATTGTGCAGGCCGGCATTTCCACACCCTCAGATGTTTTTACTAACTTTTAATCAGTGCTTCCTGTAGTTCGTGCTTGCCAAATTTCCGGTGCATACAACACAACCCCTAGGAGGAGATAGATTTTGAAAATGGCCAAAAAAAAGAGTGAAAATCACTTGACATGCTCGCCGTTTTCCCAACATGGCAGATTTCCCATCAGGTTTAGGGAAAAGCGCTAATGGACTTGCATCCCAACTGCGTCCAGGTTTCTGGGCCTAGAATCAGCCCAGGTGGTTGCACTCATGCTAAGTCCTGGAACCTGACCAGGGAACTTGGCCATCAATCATCACGTCCAGCAGAAGTCCAGCAACATGGCACGCTGGATGTAGGCCACTGCTGAGGTAAGCTCTTCTCACTACATGGTGTC